TTTTTTTTTTTTTTTTTTTTTTTAAATATCGTGCAAAAATAATATATAATCATCTAACACACCATTTTACGAAGTATATACATGAAAAGCGTATCTCGTATATCTAACACACCATTTTACGAAGTATATACATGAAAAGCGTATCTCGTATTTATAATCACAAGAAATCAAACAACATGAAATATTAGAAAAGTACTTATAATCATCCTAAAATACATTTTAGTTCATGGTTGAAACCTTGTAAGCAGGGGTTTTGAGCCTGAAAAAGAAAGGTAAGGGATGTAAAAGTCTTACTTGCATGTTTCCAATCAAGAGTGCAAAAAGGATGAGCCCAGAAATTGCAATTAGTATGGAAAAGATAACCTCCCCTGGATAGGTACTGGTGAGCAGTCCCTGGCCAAGCGTACTGTTGAACAGTCAACTATTCAATGGTCAAACACACATGAAACTTTCAACAATTTTAACACTAGTTGGGTGATTTTGCATTTCAAAGTGTTTAAGGTTTGTATAATTTGAGGATTAAAATGATGAACCTAGATTCCATATGTGAACTTGCTAACATATTTACCGAATGAAAACATAAATTATGTTACTTAATCAATTTTAAAACGACGTAATGAGACAAAGTCAGTGATGCACTTTTTATTTTTTTTCTCCTTGTCCCTACTCCATTCTCCATTATGAGGAATCGGGATCAATGTCGAGAAATCCCTTTCAGGGAATAAGTCAGCACACATAGATTTCTCGTTCCTCATTCTTTATTTAATATTATTAAAAACTTAACATAAAATTATTGTATTATGAAAGAAATGAGAAAAAAAAGTGAAGGGAATAAGGAAGAAAGGGGACCTCAAATTTTGCAAGCCCCACCACAAGCAGTAGCAGAACTTGGAGAAGAAAGTCCTGGACTGAACAATGCCAGAGGCAATAGCCTGTGTGTAAATGCCATAGTTGAATGGCAAATTATCTCCAATGGCTGTGCATTTCCTTCTGAGAATACCAACACTAATAACTTTCCACTCCTTATACCCAGGCATGTGCTTATTTCCGCAGTACAGGAAGTTTATGTTGCACTTCCCACTGCTTCTGCACGCTTGTCTCCAACATGCGTCGTTCCTCTCCACTGCCAGCAAGTACCAGAACGCTCCCGCTATCTTTAATGTATTCAGAATTCTCAATTAAACCCTCCTTCAAATCTAATATTCAACTAATTCTCAACTTCTAACGGTTCACTCTAAGAAATAATCTTATACGGTAGCTGCTTTCAAATAACGCTATTGTAGACCTTTTATAATATTTTTCGTAAGTTAGTATCATACTATTGTAGAGATTTGTAATTCCTAACATGATATCAGAGTCATGCCCTTAATTTAGTCATGTCAATAGAATACTCAAATGTCGAACAAAGAAGTTGTGAGCTTCGAAGGTGTAGTCAAAAGTGACTCAAGTGTCGAACAAAGGGTGTATTTTGTTCAAAGACTCTAAAGGAGTCGAGCCTCGATTAAGAGGAGACTGTTTGAGGGCTCCATAGGTCTCGAGGAAAGCTCTACAGTGTACTTTGTTCAAAGGGAGACTTGTTGAGGATGGTTGAATACATTTCCATTGGTACGAGACTTTTAGAGAAGCTTAAAGCAAGATCATGTGAGCTTATGCTCAAAATGGACAATGTCATACCATTGTGGAGATATGTGATTCCTAACCTTGACATGCATTGCTACAGATACGGAAACATGCCATTATTAAAAATCCAAGACTTTTTGTAGCGTTTTTTTATAGCTATATTGGATGCTATGGTAAAATATAAAGATATAACTTACATACACTGCTACGGATACGGATACGGAAACATTTAATAGTTAAAATAGCGTACTACCTTCGATTTATAGTAGCAAAACAATGTTAATATAGTAAAGTTGCTCCTAATAAATTCACTAAACTATCAATTTTGTGCAAAGTTTAAAAGCATTAAACAATATAAAAAGTATTACGAAAAGTATTGAGATTAGAAATAGAGAGGAGGCTTACATGACTGGCGAGCATGTACAAGAGGAGATAGTAAGCAGCACCAGCCCAGGCGCTTTCAGCAAAAACACCTGCGGTCTTCTTAAGTTCTATGTTCAAAGGTATAAACCTAACAAATCTGGGAATGTACTGAAGAAACACTATGTTTAACAATGCTTGTTTTGTTGCCAACACCTCTGAACCTTTTGACCTGTGAAGAAATCTCCACACCACAACCTGTGATCAACACAAATCAAACTATTCGAATTTCTAATATTTTGGTTTGAAGTTTATGCATTGTTCTTGTCTGGTAGATTAGTCAATTGATTCTAAAAAATTATGAAAATCCTTATAATCAACATTATGAAACTAGTTTGGTAAATTAATCTTTATTTTGTTTTTAATAATTATAGTTCTAAGTCCGAACAAAAATTGTGAAACACGAACCTGAGGAAAAGGAAGAACAGCGAGGAAATCGGCAATGAAATAGCGCTGAAGATACCGCTTGGCGATCTCTGCCGGATCGATCACAAGTTCGCCGCGGCCAAACACCCTTGACGATGGCGCAATGTAAGCCGTCCGGAACTGGAACGCCATCCGAATCAAGTAGAACAGGTCGACGGCCGTACGGGCGGTGGTGGTCGTGACGGCAAGCTGAGTGTCCATTCCGAGGCAGTAAGAGGCGTGGTTGAACACAGGGAGGTAGAAGAACAGAGGATCGATGGAGACGGCGAGAATACAGCACAGGACGAATAGCTTGTTCCAGAAGAGAAGCGATTTGTCCTGCGGATCGAAGATTTTCTGCTCTGACACTTTCAGGTCCTCAGGGAAAATGACTTTGGACACGCTAGAGTGGAGCGAGCGGCCTAGGGTTAGAATTCCGTCAGAGCTCATTTGTACTCCCCTACGGAACGATTGCGACGCGTTTCGAGGATTCGATCGGCTAATGAATGGCAGTGGGAGGCTTTCTAGGTTGAATCGGCATTTCTTCATCTTGCTTGATTCAGAGGATGCTGACAAATTTGAATCCAACTCATCCAACCTGCGAGCTCCATGGAATGTTAACTATCTCGAATGGATGAAGAAATTAAGCAGAAATCGAAATTCGACAACATACCTCACGAATTTCTCCTTGTGACCACCTATGTACTGCGACTTGTATCCACCACAATCGAACATTTTGTGGCAATGGCGAACATAGATGCCACAATTCGATCGCGCTTCAAACCTGTGCCGTTTTGTTCTCGAAATAGATCATTCTGGTTTCCAGTTCCTGCAAATCAAAACCTCTGTTTCTAGGAAGCGATTCTCGGTTTCGATTCCGAAGAGATATAACAGAAAACGGTTTGAAATGGTCGCATATGTTTGTGCTTCGCCTTTTTTCTTCTTCCATTGGAGATCCAATTTTCTCGCAGGATTGCGTTTCCATATTTAGGAAATGGAAATTTGTCTGCGTGTTTTCTTCTTCTCGCGAAGTCATCGGATTTTCTTCTCCAGAAGAAACATGGAGACATTCGTTTGAATCCTGATTGGATTGAAACTGCGATCATCCGCGATTTTCTTTTCTCTGCATCGGTTAGTTTCAGTTTCGGTTTGTTTCTTATTGCTTTTGCGGATTGTTTCCTGATTGGTCTTCTTTCTTTCTTTCTTCTTCATCTTCCGAACTGTTCTTCATAGTTCAATTCAATTTAACTAAATATTACGTCCAAAATAAATAAATAAATAAATATTATTAATTAAAACTAAATTCTAATTGATTTGGTTTATTTCAAGTATGAAAATGACATAAAAAACCGGTTCTAAATTAACCAAACCCTAATTCATTCGGTTGGGTCGGTCGTAGCTTTTTATGCTCATGTGAGATTGAGGGGTCTTATCCATCCAAAAGAATTTGACAAATATCGAAACTACTTGCGGCTTGATTGACATTTTCTACAATAATTCAAGATTTTTTCGACACAAAATAAACGAAAAAGTAAAGAACATTTTGGGACAAGAAGTCGTAATACCTCCTCGAGAGACCCTTTGTCAACACAATAGACTTAAAGCGTTAGTAGAAACTACCTTTATCAATGCCAATAAGATGCGTCGAAAAAACCCGTCTCTGTCGATGCATTTTGTTGGCATCAATTTTGCGCATCGACAATTCTTTGGTGACCTGATTATAATCCATTATCATCAGGTCACCAACTTCTTTGACCTTCCGACATTGAGCAGACAAGGGATGGGTGGTAGAAGATGACGAGGAGTAGTAACTAGAAGACGACAAAGAGTAGTAACTAAGTTGGAATGCCACGTGGCTCAAGATTCAGGGGGCCCACCGCTGGGTCGCTCCTATTGTGAAGTCAAAAAGTTCTAGAAATAGTGTAGAAGGAATCAACATGAAATTTGGATTGTAGCTTAAGTTATCACGCAAAGGACACAACGGAAATTAAAATCAAAGTTCTAGAAATCGTGGAGGGAGGCGCAAGGTTGAAAACATGTAAAACATGTGGACCTAATGCTCACGTGGAATTGCGAGTAGTCAAGAGGAGACAAGGGCTTAGGCATGCGTGTGAGCGTGTGAGGGCTCATATTCTACACTGGTTCGGTCTTGTTCGACTCTTTTTGACTTGTTCTATCAATAGTGGCTCATATTAAAGCTAAAAAATTATTAAATATAGGTATAAATTGAAGGAGTTGTGACATAATTGTCGTATTAGAAGGGATTATCATGAGAAAATGAATTAGTGATATAGGTAAGTAGCAAATTGAAACTCCTAAACAAGTTGTAACTTGTTATTAATGCTAAATATGTCTGAGCATTTGATTAAAAGCTTAATTACAATAAATGCATGTGAATAGCATGACTAAAGTTGTAATAGACATTCATGATTAGTGGTAAATGTTTGATTAATCCACCCACCTAAATGGTGTGAAAGTTATCTTATTTATAATCAAATAAATTACGAAATAGTAATAAATGGAAATAACAATGGAAAGATAAATGTGGTAATAAGGCCAATATTAGACTAATATTTGCCTTATAATAAAATATTAAATATAATATATATGGTAAACTATAATTTATTACTAAATATCCTTAACATTAGTAGGTGTCATATGTTGTCCGGATGATAAGAAGGTGTCATGTGTGTCGTTTATATTGAAAAATGATATGGAATTATGTGTTGGGATCAATACCAGTCGTTAGCTCTAATACTAGTTGTTAGGATCGCACAACAACGCGCACACACTCGATCTAGATGAACACAAAAAACAGATAGAGAAAATTGCAAGGAGAACTCTGGCTATGTACAACAAGAGAGTATAGAGAATAGAAAGTAATTTTCAAAGCTATATATATATATAGTTTAGTTTACTGTATATAACTTTACTAGATTTACTATACATAGCTATTTACCTTTTACCTTTATATAGCTTCACTAATAATTTCACCATATATAGTTTTACCTTATATAACTTTATTATATATAGCTTTACGTATATAACAGTTTACCAAGTTATAAGAAAGAGGCTCCATAACCTAACATTATGGTGTGTTGATAATCAAGAGGTTCTCAACCCAAATGGAAATGTGATACCATAGTCCTAATTTAAAGAAGTATTTTTGAGAGAATACTACCAAAAGGCAGCCCGACTTCGAAGGCAACAGGAGTCTACCTATCAGAAACAAGGTGAACCTTCTATTTCGACTTATGCAAGAGAATTGATGAGGTTAAAACGGTTTACACTGACACTGGTAGACACAAAATTGAAGATGGCTTAGAGATTCATCCTGGGATTGGATGCAAAAATTCGTCACACAATGGAAGCCATAGACCCTACCATTTATGAGGTCGCCTTAAGAGCAGTTAAGGCTATGGAGGAGCCTAGGGATGAGGAACGTCGAGAGTCAACTATTACTATCAAACGAAAACAAGGATTCAAATTGACTACCACCAACGTGCATACCACGACAGGTGGATAAACAAATGTGGAACACAGCATTGGGGTAGGTGTATGGCGGGAACTAGATCGTGTTTCTGGTGTGGCCAGGAGGGCAACATTGCTATGAATTGCACAATAAGGGAAACGGAAGACCCATTTAACCCACCAAGGGCCCCAGGTGGAACTGAAAGACATGTAGACTCACTCTCATACAAGAGTATATGCATCCACCGATAGGAAAGTCGAAAAATTTGACACAGTGGTGACAGGTACTTTTATTCGTCCTGGGACGCTATGCTTTAACTTTATTTAATTCAGGTTCTACACATTCATTTATATCTATACTATTTGTTAACAAAACAATGTTCGAACTAGAACCCTTATTGCATGTATTGACTATTAGTACCCTAGCAGAGGAGTAATAGTGGCAGGACAAATTTTGGATGTAGACCTGATAGTTGTTAGTATGACAGACTTCGACATAATACTAGAAATGCATTGGTTAGCTGAGAACCACACCAATGTAGATTGTTACAAAAAGGGAGGTAGTATTCTCACCGCCGTCCGAATCTAACTTTAAATTCAAGGGTACATGCACGGGAGTTGTCCCTAAAGTAGTCTCAATGATGAAAGGCAAAAGATTGATCTAACAAGGAGATTGAGTCATATTAACCAGTGCACGGGACATCTTCCCAGACAATTTATTAGGGATAGCCTTGAAGATTAACCCCAAATAGTGGCATATTAACCCTAAATCATCTCAATTTCGTATTAAACATTAAACCAATGTATTGTTTTGTTCTATTTTTTTTATATAGGATTGGACTCCAAAATATATATATATATACTTGAAGTATTTTTTTAACCTAAATTTAAAATTTTAAAATAATATAAATATATTATTACAAGTGTGTGAACATCCATACGGCCAGGGTTTGGGCCGTATTAAGAATGTGTTGAAAGTTCCCACATCGGAAAAACTACCCATTGGGTGCTGAGAGGTTACTATAAAAAGGCGGAAGCAGGAGATGGAAAGCCATGATCCTTCAGGCAGTTAACGGGATATGATGAGTGGTTGGCTATCGCTAATGAATGCGATATGGGTGTCCGCCCCAAAGCCTGGTTACGACAATTGGGCACTCCCATTATTTCCAATCTGATCCCAACTTCGATGCCCTAAAGTATATGTTTTTTAATTTTTATTTTCTCTCTCCATTTTTCTTTAAATTTAAAATATTCTACTTCTACAGATCCTTTCAAATTTTGGCTTCTAAAAATTTTTCTTTTTTCAAAATTCCTATTTTATGTAAAGTTTATTTTTACTTTTATATATTTTAAAATTTTAGTTTTTTATTGAGTTAAATAAAAAACTTAAATGTGTATTTTGAAATTTTGGAAATATTAATTTATTCTGTTTAGCGGCGTGATGCAGAAAAAGGAACTCTGGTAGAAATCATAAATCATTGGGGGTTCAAGAAAGGAACTCTAGTAATGGGGTATGAAAGCCAATTAGTGTACAACACATGGAACTTCTAACAAGTTAGATATTCCTAAAATTGGGAATGAGTATTATTAACGGTGAGTTAGTACTATTTCACGCTATAAGAGTTGGGAATGAGTATCCCCAACTGTTGGGTTTAGTACTATTTCACGCTATTAGAGTTTCTAATAATTGGAAATGAGTATTCCTAACTATTGAGTTTAGTACTATTTCATGCCATTAGAGTTTCTAATAATTGGGAATGAGTATTCCTAATTGTCGGGTTTAGTACTATTTCACGCCATTAGAGTATCTAATAGGAAATCATATAAGATCGAGTCTTGCAAACGAGTATAAAATTCACTATAAGCATAAATAGACTTAATAGGTAAAAGATAGTTAAGATACCTCGATATACCGATAGCAATGCCTATGTAACACCCGCTCATCGCCAACGCGATTAACAGGAGTTACTATCGACAATATTAAGAGACTCTGATACCCAATCATAAAATTAAAAATATTTCTAAAAACATCAGGAAAAAACAGTACTTAAAAAAAAACTTAAAACGACTAAGGTAAATTCTTGACAACGAAAAAACAGTACTTAAAAAAAACTTAAAACGACTAAGGTAAATTCTTGACAACGAAAGCATAATTACAAAACAGACCTAGACATGGATTCCCAGTAGTCTCTAACCCGTTGGTCTCATCCTCGGCCTGCAGCATCTACATCTGGAAAGAAAAGTTATAATAATTCTGATGAGTAATTAGAATACTCAGTAAGTAGCTAGTTCATCATTCACAGGCTCATAACTAATCTTTCCAGGTGTTTTTACGTTTTATTCATCATTGACTCCTAGTTCTCTTACTAGGGTCATCTGTTCGTTAATGAGGTATCTCAGCTACCTCCAGCTAGGTTACTGACTCTCTCTCGATATGCTTATCTAGAATTTTCGGACTCGTATGTAAGACTCGCTCTCGGTCAAATACGGCCCGTCTACTAATTGCTCTGGCGGCTTGCTTATCTCATATACCAACGGTCAGGAGTACTCATGCTCCCTAACTTAGCACACAGCACGTTGGCCAGGAACTCCGCGGGAATTAGTAGACTGTCATACTCAGTAAATAAGTCATAGCTCAACCACCAATAAGCATATCTAGAGTCATAACCTTTCCATTAACATGCATAACATACTCACAGTTACTGCATGCTTTCATACATGTATCATGATCAACACGTAGAAC